TCAGTTGATCAGTAGTTCAACATCTACTCACCAACTGGTCAAGAGTTGCTAGATGAAGACATTGTTTCTGTCGTGTTTCTACAAGACTGTGATGATACAATATCAGTTGACCAATAGTTCAACATCTACTCAAAAGAACCAATTGGTTAAGATTGCTAAATGAAGACATTGTTTCTGTCGTGTTTCTACAAGACTGTGATGATACAATATCAGTTGACCAATAGTTCAACATCTACTCAAAAGAACCAATTGGTTAAGATTGCTAAATGAAGACATTGTTTATGTCGTGTTTCTTCAAGACTGTAATGATACCACCAGTCGAACCAGTCAGTTTGGAAAAACACGATCTGATCTTAAGAGATCATCACACGGTTCAAACAGAACTATGATTTATGTGAAGATGATGACGTAACGCATTATCCATTTAAAGCTGCTGAGAAGTTTCAAAATGAAAAAATCTAAAGCAGACTGTGATTACATCCTTCTTTTGAAAGTGGTTTGTTGAATTAATGACTAAAGCTTTGTATTTTGTATTTTCTAAGTAAGTCGTTGGTTTGAACAAAATTATTGTTTATGTAAAAATATAATGAAATGCCACTTTGATTATACAATTTCTATAATTATTGTTATTTCTGGCCAGTTGCATGCCCACCTTACTAGATTGCACCTTCAGATACCATATTGACAACACATGCTTTTAATAATGTCAATTACATTCAAAGCGACTGATTCAACCCTTAGGATGTCTCGATAGTCCGGACTAATCATTTCATTACAAATGAGGTTCCACCGTATAAAGTATACATTTTATTACTTGACGTTTCAAAAATAAGGATGATATTAGATAATTGACTGATATTAAGTCTGTAAACCTGATGTTTCTAAAACATGGAAGATATGTGTTGAATTTAGATAATAAGACTTCTATATTTAAATACTAGCAGCGTTGCCCGGGTTTTAGAAAAACACCTACTTTCTCTGTTTCCCCCTTCAATATTTCGATAGGTAAAAAATATTTTGTAAATTTGTGAAAAACAAACAAATACAACCTTAGGTATAATTTTTTAAAATAAACTACGAACCTGTTTTAAGTCAGGGCTTCCTTATGAACGACGTTTTTTGTTTTTCCTTCACTGGCAAGGATAAATAGGCCCTTATGGAGAATACTTAGATTATCTTATACACATATGTGTACCCGTTGTGGTGAACAAGATAAGCCTAGCTCTATCCCCCCCTCATCCCTCCTCAAATATTAAAAATTCAAACGTAAATATGTATGTAATATTATGTTGAATTTGCTTTAATGTAAATTTGATATATTTTTATTAATGTGATACTGTATTCACATTATGACATTGATGTATGAAATATAGTACAAACAAAATGCAATATTGTACTCTATAACGTATCAAAAAAAAGAAAAAAATTCACTTTCAGGTA